TTCCAACTTCACAACTCCTAATAACCTTCTAGCAATCCAGGCTTCCCTAGAAGACCGTTTGAAAGCAGGCTTTCCTCTGAGGCTGAGAAATTGTGGGTTTCCATGGCTGAGCATGGATTTGAATCCTGTTCTCCAGAGTCATAGGCCAATCCTCAAACCACCACATTACACTGGCTTTCTGTATTCTACACCAATGTCAATCTTGCTGCTGATTATTGTGTTTTTAAACCAAAAACCAGTACCACTTCCAGGTTTTTCTGTGCATTCTCATTATTCCCTTCTATAATCCACAAAAAAGCCATATTTGTTCAAACAGGATTTAGGCACAGAAATTTTCATTACACACCAACTGCACCTAAAATTTATTTTTAATTGGAAGTTAAGATTATGCTATTACCTGTAATTTCCCATATGCCTGTTTTCATGTTCTTCTTTCGAGATTTGCCTGCGTACTTGTGCAAGCCTTTCTTTCTGGTAATCAAGAACACGTAAGAAGTGATTAACCATATCCGTGAAAAAAGAATAAAAAATATAGCTTATGTATGTCTGGGGTTTTTTGTTGTTGTTTTTAATATAATACTCTACCAGCTCTTCTCTCCTCCTTTCTAGGGACTGCCGTTGTTTCTCCCAGTCAGAAGACACAGGTGATAGCCTTTTCATTGAGCCTTGGCCATAAAGTCTCTTCTGAGCCTCTGCTTTTTGCTTTGCTAAATTTTTCCTTTTATCACTTGTCCTGAAAGAGAAATTACAGGCCAATATGACGATGAAAACATGTCCATCAACATGGCAATACAACTATGGACACCGCCCCCCAAATAAGAATTCTGCCCCTATGAAATTTCCAATTTCTAGTATCACAGAAAGCGAGACACACCTAGAACTCTTCTATTTGCTGTGTTTACATTCTTTTGGTAACTCTTCCACTTCCTTTTCTCTGAACTACTAAAGTGTATTTCCACATACTCAACTCAAGTTTCAAGTTACTCCCAGGGCTGTGGAGTGGGAGTTGGATTTGGACCCCACCATACTAGAGAACTATTAGCCAATATTCTATATCCCCTTTGAGGGGCAAGGTTTCAGAGCATGTGGTGGCCTCCCGGCTCCAAGGCTTCCTAGATAAGATAAATTATCTCAATCCATTCCAGTCTGGCTATGGGACAGAGACCACTTTGGTCACTCTGGTGCAGGGGTAGGCAACCTTTCCCCTTTAAGGGCCAAGGGACTTCAGCTCCCAGAAGCCTCAGCTGTGTTGGCCAATAGTCCCATGTTGGCCAATAGCTCCTGGGATTCTGGGAGCTGAAGTCCCTCAACCCTTAAAGGGGAAAGGTTGCCTACCCCTGCTCTGGTGGATAACCTTCACAGGGAGCTAGACAGAGAAAGTGTAACCCTGTTAGTTCTGCTAGATCCTGTCAGCAAGCATGAGTCTCATCTGTCCTGGCCTACATCTATGACTTTTGACAGGTTTGTAATCATGACGCAGGACCTTTACAGACTGCCAGAAATAATGCAACTTGAGTGCACTTTAACTGCCCTTGCTCAGTGCTAGGAAATCATGGGAACTGTAGTTTTTTCTGAGACATTGAGCCTTCTCTGTCAGAGAGCTCTGGTGCCACAATAAACTACAGTTCCCATGATTCCCTAGCACTGAGCCAAGGCAGTTAAAATGGACTTAAGTTGCATTATTTCTGGCATTTCTGAAGGTCTTTAAGCACAGGTCTTTAAGCAGGGGCTGGATGGCCATCTGTCGGGGACGCTTTAATTGGGAATTCCTGCATGGCAGGGGGTTGGACTGGATGGCCCTTGTGGTCTCTTCCAACTCTATGATTCTATGATTCTATGATAGGCTGGGACTAAAACATTACAAATAACATTGATATTATACTGGTACTTTTTTGTTAACAATATTCCTAATATTGTAACTTTTGAGCAGTAATCCAATTACCTAAATCCAACTAGAGTAGAACCATGGAATAAAAGGGTGCATTTTAGTCCAGGCTAGCAGTCAGATTTAGGTCAATGACTGGTATCATTACTTGTTTCACTAGAAAAGTAATTGTCTTAATTGTAATTATTCCTAAAATGTTGGGGAGGGGTTGGCTCCTTGGACTTTTTAAGTGGATGTAATAAAGAAAAAATAAGTAAAAAGTTTTTGTAAAAAAATCAACAACCAATAGCTTTACTTCTAAAAAGTAAAGTTCCAATTCTTCAAAACATATAGCAATAAAAATTCTAAATAAAAAATGCATGCCAGATAAGAGTAATGAGGGAAAAATGTACGGCTCATAAAATATCTAATATACAGGGCTCATAAAATATCTACAACTAAAAGTGTCTTAACACAGGAGATATTTGCTCAAAGAAAGTCAATTTGCCCTCATTCATTAATCACTTTCTTTCAAACTGCTAAGATACTGAGCCAAACTGTGTATGCATATCCAACAGGGAATTTGGATGCAAGACTTCAGAAAGCTATTAAGCAAAGGTGTTATGTCCAAATAAAGTATCCAAAGAGCACAAAATCAAAAAGAAGGGAAAATGCAAACAGCTCTCCCAAGTGTATTACTGTAACTAGAAACTTGGAAGTTGTATCCCATTCAAATCCTATAGCGCTATGTGCCATGGAGGAAGAATGTGGGGAACAAATAAATAATCTTTTCATGAAAGACAAAGGGTCAGAGACAGTAGCAAAGTAACTATTTACTGTATATACTCGACTATAAATTAAGAAATTTATGCCCAAAGATTGACCCTAAAATAATATGGGTCAATACAGTCGCCATGGGTTGAGTCAGTTGGAGGATAGTTAACAACAATAACAACAACAACCAGAGTTCTCTGACAGAGAAGATTAAATGTTTCACACTTCCAGAATTCCCTAGCATTGAGTCATGGCAGTTAGTGGTGTCAAACTGGATTATTTCTGCAGTGCAGATGCAGCCTTTGTCTATTTGACAGTTGTAGTGAACAGCTCATCATGAAAGAAATTAACACTTTTACTGAGAGTTTGTGGACTGTAATATTTCTTATACCATGGACTACTTTGCCCTGAAAGCAAAGAAGATTCAAGACGGCTTTATGAAAACTCGTCAGTTAGGATGTACATTTAAAATGATTTCCTACTTGCTGTATTCCTTCATATTAGCAATAATCCTTTGGATTGTTAAAAAGTCTTCTGGATGAGTAGGGTTTCCTCCCCTGCAGATGGCAATTGTTTGTAAATACTTTCATACTGTATAATCTGCTTGTATATGTATAACCTTATTTTATGTATGTTTTGCAATGGCCTTTGGTCACAAGCAATAAATGGGGTGCTCGATTGAAATGTAAGTTTACCTGATATTGAGCAGCTTTAATGCATTCAGCAGAACACCTTTTTTCACATCATAGTCTATTTTTTGGTCAGTACCAAAGCTTGGGGCTCGATTAATCTGAAAAATTGAAAAGGACAAAACATCCCCAGGAATGTTTAATTCACAACAGAATAGCTCAGAAACAGTCAGTCAGCCAGTCTCTCTATCCCAGGGGTAGGCAACCTTTCCCTTTTAAGGGCTGAGGGACTTCAGCTCCCAGAATCCCAGGAGCTATTGGCCAATATGGGACTATTGGCCAACATGACTGAGGCTTCTGGGAACTGAAGTCCCTCGGCCCTTAAAGGGGAAAGGTTGCCTACCCCTGCTCTATCCTCTTCTCATTCTCTCTCTTGTATGTAAACACACCAGCCCAGGTTTTTTAAATTCCATCTTGCAAACTAGTTATGCACCTACACTCTAACATGTGCAGAAGCATCACCTGTATTTATGTCCCAGCTTTTTCCCAAACAGTTTACACATTATGATTATAGTATAGTTGAATACATACAAAAAGTCAACATAAAATAGAATTAAACAACCAACAATATTAAAACAACTTAAGACATTCATTTTAAAATTATTTTAAAAAGCAGTAAAAAGTACAATTTAAAACAATACAGTATCCCCTTAAAGCACTTTCATTTAAAACCTTCAGACTTTAAAGCCTGTTGGAATAAAAAAAGTTAAAAGTCTTCACCTACTGATGGAAGGATACCAAGCAAGAAGTCATTCCAGCCTCCCTAAGGAGAGAGTTCCAGAGCCTGGGGGCAGCCACTGAAAAGACCCTCTCTGGTGTACCCATCAACTATAGCTGTAAAAGTGATAGGACTGAGAGAAAGGACTCTTCTGAAGATCTTACGGTTTGGAAAGGTACATACAGGGAGATACTGTCTTTCAGATATTCTGCACCTAAACTATAGAGGGCTTAGTCACTTCCATTTCACATGAAGTAGCTGCTATCTGATGCATCACCAAAAGATAGTTACAGCCACTACCTCATTCTGATCATAGACAAATAGGTGATTGTTGTTGTGTGCCTTCAAGTCATTTCCAACCTATGGCAATCCCAAGGTGAACCTATTACAGGGATTTCTTGGCAGGATTTCTTCGCAGGATGTCTGTCTTTGTCTTTCTCTGAGGCTGAGAGATGGTGACTTCCCCAATGCTATCCAGTGGGTTTCCATGGCTGAGTAGGGATTTCAACCCTAGTCTCCAGAGTCAAGATCTAATGTCTAAACCACTACATCATGATGACTCTCTTAAGAATACAAATGAATGCCCAACTGTTGGGGGGCAATGAGCTTACAGTTGTAAACTGCTTAGACACCCCATAGTGCGGTATGAAGCGGTATATAAATGAAGCTGCTTTGCTTTACAGTAGACACAAAAGGCCTGGATTTCTATTGGATGAAAAGGGAGCTTTAAAAGCCCAGGTCATTTTCTAGGACAAAAGTACAAGTGATTTAAGTGGTCCAAAAAGTTTAGAATGCAAGTACAATAAACGTCACTCTCTGCACCATTCCTGTTGTGTGCCTTCCAGCTTAGAGTGAAACTACCACAGAGTTTTCTTGGCAAAATTTGTTCCTAGGGGGTTTGCCTACCTGAAGCTGAGAGTGTGTGACCTGCATAAGGTCACCCAGTGGGTTTTCATGACCAATCAGGAATTTGAACCCTGGTCTTCAGGGTTGTAGTCCAGTGTGCAAACCACTACACCATGCTGGCTTGCAGAAGAGTAACACTGGAGCTAAAATATGATTCCAACTTATTCTCTCCTTTATTCAGTTACATTTGTTGACTCTTTCCCCTCTTGTCCATTTTCATTCCTCTCTCATTCCATGTGCACACTCAATTCTCTTAACAGAGTTCAGTAGTTTCCATCCCTTTCTGTTTATAAGCCTGAAATTTCCTTTATAAGCTAAAGCTGTCATGTAGATGCACTGAATGCCATAAAGTTAAGTCCTAAATTAACATTGGCTTCTCAGTGTTGTAAAGCTATGAGCTCTGTCCACAGGTTAATCATTCCCAAGTTCCAAAACTAATGGTATTCATTTTGCATTGTTTGAAAGAAGCACTGCACAGGATTCCCACATTCTCCTCTGATATTTCATTTAAGCTTGAAATCTTTGGCTTTCTCCATTAGAAAAAAAATAGTAATATCCATGGGTTTGTGCATGATTCTCAGCATTTAAAATTATACTTAAGGCCAGGGTGGAAAAAACATGTAGGCATCCAGATGTTCTTGGACTATGATTCTCAGCAGCAGTAGCCAGTACAGACAATGTTATAGACAACAGCCAGTATAGACAATGGTGAGAGATGCTGTGAGTAGTTCAGTCACATCTGAGTGCCCTTACGATCAACTGCCCCCCCACTTTATGCAGATGAACTTTTAGTCTTTTATTGAAACACCGTCTTTTGTCCAGGATCTAACTATAAGTTATCCAGTCCTGTAAATCACACAGAACTCCCAAACAAGTGGAAGCAGACATCTGTCTTGAAAAGGTATGCAGTACCATGAAGACAGAGAGAGCCAGTATGGTGTAGTACAGTACTTCCCAGGCTATATGAAGTGGGAGACTAGCAATTAGTTTCTTTCCACTGCACCAGGGACCTAAATCATAGTTGTTCACATTGGCTAAAATTGTTTCATTCTTCCCTGGAAACTCACTAGCGACTTCCATCCAATGGCCCAGGGACTGACACAAGTCTAAGGAGCATCTCTCTGAATAATACTGGTATAGTAGTTTGAATGACCAGCTTCGACTCTGGGAAAGCAGAGGTCAAATCCTTGCTCACCTATGGAAACACACTAGGTGATCTTGGTAAGTCACATTCTCTCAGCCTTGGAAAAAGACAAATTCAAAATTCCTCTGAATAATTTTTTCCAAGAAAACCCTAACATAGGTTCACCATATGTTGGAGTTGACCTGAAGGCACATCAACAACAACTATAAAGAAACATATTTAGACCTGTTTATGTGCTGCCAAGACTGCACAGTTCTCTGAATGAACGGCTATTAAAGCATTAGTTAATCAAAACAATTGTATTCTCCAGTGAAACATACACATAGAACAAGTTGGACAAGATTCCTCAGCTCAAAAGAGAACACTTCACTATTCTCCCAGTAGATGGTGCAAGACAGTTCATCTCGATTTTCATTTTGCATTTGCCAGAAATTTTAAAAGGTCATGAGAATACAATTTGAAGATAACAGCATTTTGTTTTGTTCTTAGAAGACACAAAACTCTGAAGGAATTGGTGATTATGATTTTGTATCTGAAAATAGTTTGTAGCAAATGTCTAAGCATCTGTGCCATAATCTGAAAAGGACTGGATGCAACAAACCAATTTCTACATTATATATATATATATTTAAAAGAATCTCCTGTTGCTTTTCAGAGTGGTGCATATTACACCACACTTGACTGTTAACTACTTCTAAAACTCCACTGTATTTCAAGGCAGCTCAAGAATATTCTCAAGAATACTCCCTTATAGAACAAAATACAAAACCAACAAAACAACAACATCCTTGTTAGCCAACCATAATGCATAATGCAAGCTTTCAAAGCTTCACTGGCTTCTTCAACAGGTAAAAGATGTTTTAAAAATTATACAGGACAAGAAAAGTGACAACAGGGCACTGCAGACCGGCCTAAAGGGCCGGACTGGGAGTGGAGTTGGGGCGGGGTAGCCGCACGCCGGCCACCCCAACTCCATCCCGACGCTATCCTGACACTGCATGCCCATTTACATGGCACGCGGCATCAGGATGCCCTCCCAGTGGAAGCGCCGCAGTGCCGGCTCTTAGGGCAGCCACAGCTAAAAGAATCGGGACCATGGTGTGGAGTTGCCACAGCCCCAATTTGCCACTAGCAGGGGCAGCCCAGAGCCACCCATCTGCATAGCCCCAGTGTTAGAATCACAATTTTGTATCAGATTTTGTTGTAGTTCAGTTGGTTTGGAGGGATTGCAATCCAGGCAGAGGCCCCACTCCCTTCTTGGCCATGCAGGGATTAAGACAAAGGACAGTAAAATTTTATCTCCATTAGAAGTAATAAAGTAACTTTTCTTGGGATCCAGGTTACCCTTAATGTCAGAAAGCCAAAGCACAATTAGTGTTTGGGTATGGGAAATCTATTTGGAAACCTGCTCGCAACAGGGAGCAAATCTTGGGCTTCCTCACATCTTTGGACCATCTTCCTCTCACCCTCCACTCCCTACCCCAAAAGAAGGAGATGGTTACTCACAAGAGAGAACCTCTGAGCACAGTTAAAATTCAAGAGTGTATCAACTTTGCTGCACCTTCAGTCAACCTAGTCTGCACCTTTAAATGCAGTTTGGAAACATTTAATTATAACAGAAGCTGTTAAAGATGCAGGAGCCCTGTGAAGAGCAAAAGTGGTAAAGAAATAGGATAATGTGGTACACTAAACACTTGGTTGTTTATCATTGCATTACCTGAACTTCTATTTCCTATCTATAACAAAACCTTGAAAGGAGTGCAGCTGAACAGGGAAATTAGCCACGTTGGTCAGTTCTTTCATGATCCATCATTTCATGAGCCTGTAATTTGTATAAATGCAAATATGGCTACTTGGATCTGGGGAATTAGAATTGCAATTCTAATGGACAGGGACAAATTTCTGGTGTGTGCAGGGCAAAGGGTTAAGAGCCCTGGTGGCGCAGTTAAATGCCTGTACTGCAGCCACTCACTCATAGACCACAAGGTTGTGAGTTCAATACTAGCCAGGGCTCAGGCTAGACTCAGGCCTGCATCCTTCCGAAGTGGTGAAAATGAGTACTCAACTGTTGGGGAGCAATGAGCTTACAGTTGTAAACCGCTTAGACATCCCATAGTGCGATATGAAGTGGAATATAAATGAAGCTGCTTTGCTTTGCTTTAAGAGGAGGAAAGCTTTGAAGTCAGGTCTTTTCTTGAATGGGCAATAGGGTGGAAGGAGGGAAAGACCAGCAATTGTGCAAAAGTAGCAGAGGAGTGAACAAAAACAGCACTGAAGAGTGGGCAAAAACAAATATTTTCCAACCCAGGCAAAGCTTGTATCAGCTGCACAACTACTGGAATAAAGGGAAAGAAACACTGGTTCCCAAAAATGAGTTGGTAATGGAGAAATGAAAGAGTATTACAGTACAGACAGTACTAAGGTTACTAATTCAAACAAAGGTAGGTACTTGTACTCATTCAGGGATGAAAAACAAAGCTTTGGAGAACAGTTGAAGGAGTTGGATTTCTGTTCAGCCCAAACACATTTGAAATGTAATATCATAGTTGTCTTCAAATATCTGAAGCACTTGTCACATTATATTACCATTTTTTCTGTTTTCCTTGGTGCTCCAGAGCCAGAGTCTGAGCCAGAATCAATAGGTGCAACACACAAGAAAGGAGATTTTGAGTAGACATTCAGAATTTCCTAATGGCAAAAGGTACTAGACTGTGATATATTTTTTTTGGTTAATAATGGCCTCTTCTTTGTTTGAGGTGTTTAAGCAGATGCTGAATGGCCATCTGTACCAGTGGACTAACAGCACTAGCCAGAGGTAAGGGTGGTTTATACTTGATGACCTGCTATGGCAGGTGTTTTATTAGTAGTTGGCTGTGTATGAAAACTTCATTTATAAAGATTTAATTTTTAATCTATACTTTTTACTACATGTCAATGTAATGTTCTTGTTTTGAGATTTTTTAGATATGATGCAAATTGCAGTCTAAGTTTTTTCTTTAAAATGGAGAAATATAATACAAATCTGTACATCAAAATAACAAAGCCAATTCAGACCATATGTAATGGAGAGGCATGCAAATTCCAACACTTCTTTTCCTGATACCAGATTTAGAAGTTAATGTCCACTCAGGCTGATGGAGCAGATCCAGCAACTCTGTTGAAAGGGGGAAAGGAAAAGGAATATCTTATGCTCCTTTCTTTACTGCTTCTACAGCAACAATCAAAATGGAATTTGCTTGTATCCCAAGGAGAGAAATCTATACGATCAAAATGGCCTCCAGGGATCACAAAACTTATCATTTATGATATGTGTATGTGCCACCAGGAATTATAGTAGAGTCAGAGACAGTGAAGTGTGAACGACTTGTTAATTCTTTGAAGGACATCAGATTAATCCTGCTGGATCAGGCCAAATGCCTATCTACTCCAGCATCCAGCTACCTACAAAAGCCAACCAGAGGCTTCTAGAAACCCACAACATGAAGGCAGCACCCTGTCCCCGTCCCTTCAGAGGTATTATGGCTAAATGACACAGTTTTCTCCACCTTTTGTCCCCCTTTTTCACTTAATATATGAACCAACTGTCAAGACACAACAATTATCTGCTATTCTCAATGGGATTCAACTCCCCACACTTCTACTAGATTAAACAGACAGTGTGTCATTTAGCTTTTTTAATGCTCATGCAGATTTAGTAAAAATAATTTTTCAAGCAGCTTACCTCTAGGAGCCATGGCTTGAGTTTTCTGTCCAGCAGAATATCAAACCCGAGAACTTCAAAGCAAACACTGTCACTTCCTGGAGACTGCCCTGGTCTACACATACGGTAAGCATGAAGGACATGTGGCTCTGCTACTATGAGTGTCTTCACCACTAATTCCTGGGGGATTGTACAGAAAACTGGGTTAGTTGAGTGGCATTGTTCTATTTTAAAAAAATTTTTTACTTAGATCACACGAAAAGCAGACATTAAAATA